AAAAGCATTCTTTTCGGGGGGGGGGGGGGGTGTGTGGATGGACATTTGCTTAAATTTCCCTAGGGTGTATATCTAGGAGTAGAATTTCTGGGTCATAGGATAGGTGTACATTTAGCTTGATAACCGGGTAAACAGTTTCCAAAACCAGTCATCTCCATTGACATTCCACCAGCAACGCATGAATGTGAGATGGAGATCTTTCATCACTTCTCTTACTTCCCTAGCACAAATCTAATTTAGCGATTTTAAAGTACTGACTTTTAAATCGACTCAGGAGTGACAAAATCTGAAATGAAATCGCCTACCTGGAAATTCTCCTGAAAGGCCCGAGGTGAGTCCCTCGAGATCTGCAGCAGCATCTGACAGGCTCGATTGGGTTTTCCAGGGCAGCAAAACACTTGTCAACCTCGGCACAGCTTTCAAGTGGATCGAGCCACAAAGGATCAATTTCTCTTTTTTTTTTTCTCTCTCTCTCTGCCTGAAACTCAAAACTCACAGTGATGGGAAGGCGGGTTAGAAATGTGAAACGGTGTGAAGTTCATTCATCACAAGCATTTATCACACATTGTGTGCCTAGCACCTTGCTGGACACAATGGTGAAAGGAAAGATGTGGAAGATTCCGTTCTTACTCTCGAGTGTCTCATAACCGAGTTGATAAGACACAAAATGGAAACTCTTCCGCTGCCCACCACGTAAAGGCTGCTGCTGTTCTGGATTCTGCCCTTTGCCCTTTTGTGCTCTATTCCACATGCTTTTCCTGGGTCATCTCATCTGAGCCCATGATTCCAACTACCCACCACCCTCCCTCCACAATCACTACGCCTGGACTGAGCTCACGCCCAGGCTCCAGACCTATGTTTTCCAACTACTTCCTCAGCGCTTCCCTAATGCTCACAACTTACATGTAACGCACCAGTACATTTTGTTAACTTTGCCCTTATAATATAGCCGGAATCATACTATTTTTCACCACCTCCTCCCCTATTACTGTTGTCCACGCCACTGTCATCTCTGGTCTGCATTACGATAGCAGCGCTACTGTAATAATGTAAGGCTATCTTATTGCGATGGCCTGCTCTTTATCCCTTCCCTTCCTTTTGGTAATAGAAACTTGAGTTACATTTTTAAAAATATATTTGTATTGATTTCAAAGAGGAAGGGAGAGAGAGAAACATCAATGATGAGAGAGAATCATCGATCAGCTGCTTCTTGCACGCCCGTTCCCCCACCCCACCCCTCCACCCCCGCCAAACCAGGGATTGAGCCTGCAACCCGGGCATGTGCCCTGACTGGGAATTGAACCATGACCTCCTGGTCCATGGATTGATACTCAACCACTGAGCCACACCGGCTGGGCCGAAACTTGAATTGCTTTTGATGAATGTAACCGTCAGGGTTCCAGCAGAAGGTTAATTTGAGGGGAGATTGGTAAAGGTTACTTACAAATGTGTGGGCGAGGTTGAGGGAAACAAGAAGTAATGATGGTATGATATCCTGAGCTTCCAACAGAGAAGAGCCATTACCACCTCTAGGCCAAGAGAAGGGAGACTCTATCGGAACGAGGAGTGAGACCTATATGAAAAGAATCACGTGACAGAGGCCTCAGTAGATGTACGTAGCTTACCTGCAGTGACCTAGAAGGGAAGAGGCCTATGAAATACTACCCTACTCCATCCTCCTCCAACCCTCTGATCTCCTCCCAATATCTTCCACTGGATAAATTTGACTGTAAGCCAGAGGCACCCATTAAAGCCAGCCATGCGGATCGGCTTCCTGAGGCACAAATCAGAAAAGAAAATGGCAGAAGGTAGATCTGAGGGGAAGAAAATACCTCGCACAGGAAGCTACTTCTCCCCAGTGCTCAGTCCATGAGATTAAGAGCTGCTGATCTCAGCCCCAGAGCTAAGTACATGAGCCAGGCCTGAGTTGTGAGAATATTCCACATCCCTTCTCAAGAGAGTGGTTTAGTGATGTAAAGCAACCAAGTTAGACCAACAAGAAGTAGTCCTGCGACTTGTGTTGACTGCATGGAGGAGAAGTTCTTTCTGCTGGTAAGGATGTGATTGGAAGTTGTAAGCCGCTATTCTGCCAACTCATTGGGAAAGGCAGCTTGAGAATGAAAAGTCTACAAGAAGAAAACAGTTGGGAAGTGGAGAACAAAGACTACATCCTGATGTCACAGTTTAAGCACCTGGATCCAGCCATGCCTGAAGTCCATGACTTTTCTGTTATATGAGTCAATGAATCCCATCATTGCTTAACCCAGTTTGAGTGGTATATCGCATGCAAAAATAAATAAATAAATAAATAAAACAAAAAAACATGAACAATATTTAATACCAAAGAACAACACAAAGGTTTACTTGTATGTCCAAATAAGCTGTTATTTCTATGGAATGCCTTTTCCATATACTCCACCTAGAAAACTCCTACTCAAATAGCCTCTTTTTTGGTTGGTTGGTTGGTTTTTTATTAATCCTCACCCGAGGATATTTTTCCATTGCTTTTTTTTTCCCCCCCTTAGGGAGAGTGGAAGAGAGAGGGAAAGACAGAGACAGAGAAACATTGATGTGATAGAAACACATTGATTGGTTGCCTCCTTCCGACCAGAGCCCAGGCTGGCAACCGAGGTATATGCCCTTGACCGGAATTGAACCCGGGACCCTTCAGTCTGCAGGCCGATGCTTTATCCACGAGCCAAATCAGGTAGGGCCTTCCCTTAATTTTCTAGGTAGAACCGCTCACTTCTTCCTCTGCTTTGTTAGCACTTTACAAATGCCTTTGTGAGTGCATGTATACAATTGTTTTGCAAGTATCTATTTATTTACCTGTCTCGCCTAGCTGTGAGCCCCTGAAGGGGTAGGTTTGTGTGGCTTCACAGTTGGAAGCACAGGGCCTAACCCCTCAGGGAAGCTCTGAGTTAAGGCTAAACCAGTCTTTATATTGTGGGATTTCTCAGAGCCATTTCTGTTCATGTGCATTATGGATCCTCAGTCAGGGATACAGAATGCTGCAGTTTCCAAACTCATTTGACCGAAAAACTCAGTTTTCGCCAAAGTTGCTGTGTTAGAGGCATTTAGAGAAGAAAAATTACTGCGGTTCTTAGGGTGACCTTAACGAAAGAATTGACTTTCAATAAATATCTGTTAAGTAAATGAAAGAGAAGAACTTGGTTAGGTCAAGGTGGGGAACAGCAGAAACAACAGAAAGAATGAGCGGGGGGTGGGGGGGGTCTTGGGGGGCAATCCTTAGACATAAGTCTCTGATGGTACAGGATCATGACCCAGGCTCTGTGTGCCTGACAACACTGCCTCCCTGATTTTGACCTTCACTTTGACTCTGAGGGGGTTATTGGGGGGTGGGGGGGCAGTGATCAGGCTGATTTCCCTCCAACTGCACATCCTTAAGACAAATTCCTATCCTGTTCTGTGCCTCTCTGTTTCCCTCTCTGTGGACTAAGGGAAGAGACACAGACTCTCTCCCAAACTTGGTCCAGATGTCTCATAAAACAAACACACACAAACCCAGCTGGTGTGGCTCAGTGGTTGAGCCTCGACCTATGAAACAGGACGTCATGGTTCAGAGCACATGCCTGGGTTGCAGGCTCGATTGGAGGGGTGGGGAGGGGGGGAGCGTGCAGGAGGCAGCCAATCCATGATTCTCTCTTATCATTGATGTTTCTATCACTCTCCCTCTCCCTCCCTCTCTGAAATCAATAAAAATATATTAAAAAATAAGATAATCATAATGATATCTATCAAAGGAAGCCGCAGTCCTATCACTGTAACTTTGGACAACTCATTGAACAGCTAAGGCCCTTGCTCTACTAGTATTTGTAAAATAAGTGTAATTATGCTCCACTGTCTCCCAGGGCTTCTGAGAGAATCCAGCAAGACTCTGCACGGAAAGTGTGTTTGTAAAGAAGGAAAGAAACGACCTAAAAATCTAAGCATTATGAATATTGTGCATAGGGTGCAGAGGGGAGCGGTGGAGGGGCAGGAGGGGGCGGCAGTGCCCCGCGTGGCTAAGCGCCGCGGATGAGCAGCTGCACACCCAAGTGCTGCCTGTCGCCCAGCTGCCTCCCAGCAGCCCCTCGCGGGCCAGGACGCACAGGGGAGCCCTCGCACCTATAAAATGAGGATAACGGACAGTTCGCTGCTTTCCGGGAGGTCAAACGAGGCCGGGCTCGCAGAGCAGGCGGCGCACCGTGCGTAGTAACGGGCCCTCCTAATCGCTCCCGATATTCCCACTGTTCTCGGGACCGACATGGGGCTAAGCGGGCGGAGGAGACCGGCCACTTCTGGCCGCGGTGCGCGGTCGCTCAGGGTCCCGGGTCCTGGGTCCCTCGCGCCCCCGCCCCAGCATGACCGCCGGAACACCCATGAGCGCCCGCAACCAGAAAACCAGCGGCGCCGGCCCAGTGCGCGCGCGCCCCGCCCCCGCCCAGCCCCACGGCCGCGCGCCAGGGCGGGGCCGCTTCCTGCCGGCGGCCGGGCCCCGCGCACCCTCGGGCCGCCGACCTCGGGCGCCTGCGCCGGGCGGCTCCGCCGGGAGGGGGGCGGGCACGCGGGGCGGGGCGGGGCGGGAGCGCGCGGGGCTGGGCGCGCGCGACGCCGGCAGCTCGGCTGGGCCTTCGCGACGCTGGTTCCCCGGCGAGGCGGTCTCTCCGGCCGGCGACGAGGGTGTGGCGGTGAGGCTGCCCGCCCCGACTCTGCGTCGGCCACCGCCCGGCACGTCTCCCCGGGTCGGACCGGCTCCTCCCGGCGTCCCGGCTCCCACGCAGCCCCGCCCGGCCTCCGCGGCTGCAGCCGAGCTGCCCAGGGCGCAGGTGAGTCCCCTTCGCCGGGTGTGGCGGGCCCGGACCTCTCCGACAGGTGTTCAGCCGGCGCCGGGCCGGGTGTTGAGCACGGGGTGCGCAAAGTTACACCAAAACAACAACAGAAACGGTGAAAGAGAACAACTGGTGCGCAGCTGCCCGGGAGGGGTGGGCACTCTGGGGCCCCCGACCCTGGCGATCCCCGGGCGCCCTGGCCTCCGGGGCCAGCCCCTCCCGTGCCCGGCGTCTCCCCTGGCAGCTCCGGGGTGGCGTCCAAGAAAATGGCCCTCCCCTCCCCGCCGGCAGCGCTCTCAGACGACGGCTGGACTTCTGAAAAGCTGACAGGCCCAACCTGCTGCTGGAGGCAGGGAAGGTGCTGTCGGTGAAAGCGAGGGGCCAGCCGCTGGAGCCCCCCGTTTCCCTCTCGCTCCGCCTCCCCCGCGATGCATTACTTTTTCACTAACTTCTTGCAACTTGTCTGCTTCCATCTGCTGCCCAGACCGATGGAGCAGCGGTGCTGTTTTCAGGTTGCTTCCTTCGGGCTTCCGTGGGATTAGGAGTCTGTGTACGGGAGCTGTTGAGATCCTTGTTTCAGATCCAGGCTGGGATGAAGGTGATGTTTTTCAGTGTGGTACTCAAAGCCCAAACTATTCGCGCCCTCTTACGGAAAAATCACCTGGGCACACTACGTCTATCCTAACTTTTCCCAGAAATCTGCATTGGGTAAGAGAAGCAACGGACATATTTGTAGCTGTGATTACACGTGATTTTTAATGATATCATTTTAAGGTTATTTCATTAGCTCTGGTTCTGTGTATTAAATTATAAAGACACAAACAGTATTTATTGAGACTGAGGATGAACATGTTTGTGCATCATGCAGATCTGTCCTTTTTGGTGGGGATTTTATCATGGTGTTCTAGAAGTGCACTTGGGGTGCAGGAAGACAATGAAAGGCCTGAAAACGAATAGCCCCCGCCCTCCCCCGCCCCGCCCCCTCCCCCCCCCCCCCCCCGCTTTTTTTAGCCATGCCATCAGTCTTACATTTTACTGGGTTGGCAAACCTTTTCTGTCTTAGCTTGGGGAGAGCTGTCAATGCTTTTAGTGAAAACAAGAATTTTCCTACTATCTTCTTCTGGTCTATCATAATAAAAGGTAATATGCTAATTAGACCGGACGTCTTCCAGACTCCATTCCGGACAGGAAGCCAGGGCGGGAGGGAAGCCCTGACTGAAGTAGTTCAAGTGTTCACTTAGTTGAGAAGCATATTCTTTTCAAAAGGAAATTTGCTGCTCGCTTCGGCAGCACATGTACTAAAATTGGAACCCTACAGAGAAGGTTAGCATGGCTCCCGTGCAAGGATGACACGCAAATTTGTGAAGCGTTCCACATTTTTTAAAAAAAAGGAAATGTGTTTTTTTTAATCCTGGAGGAGGAGGAATTTATCTTTTCTGGTCAGAACTTAAAATGCAAAGCCAAATCCATGTGCTTGACATTTTGCCTTGATGGATTGCTTTTGTCACAAGGCTTGTAGCAGAGCAGATGGTCATGCTACTTGGAGTTTTCCACTCATTTGATGTTTCCATGAAGAAACAATTTGCCGGAAGCCAGCCTCAGCTACAGTTGCTAAACTTTGCTTGCAGAAGCTGGAGGGTATTGGGGCAGCCCTTTCGGTTGAACCGGTCAGTAGTCTCCTGGGTTAGTAAACTGAGGGACAGCTTAGTCTTGTCATAGTTGATGTTGAGTCAGAGTTAGCAACAACTCTGGTAATAACAGCATGGAAACAGTATCCTTTTGTAATTTTTTTCTTTGCCTTAATAAACCCAAGATACTTTTTACTTAACCAGCTGAGTTACCTTATAAAATGGGTTTTTTTTCCATGTGTGCTAGGATTGTCAGGTCTATTGGCTGACTTTGATCATATCTCTTTCTATTAAAATCTAACAGCCCGGCCAGGGTGGCTCATTGTTTGAGCATTGACCCATGAACCAGGAGGTTGCTGTTTGATTCATGGTCAGACACATGCCCAGATTACAGACTCAATCCCCAGAAAGGGAATTTATAATGTCAAAAATTATGAAATGGTTAACTTAAGCTATAGCTAAAAAAAATCTCGTGACTTGCCTTTAGCAAGGGAACCATCGTCTGAATGGTAATGTCTCTAATACTGTATGTAATGAATTCCAACATAAAATTTTGTGAGGCCTTTTTGAGCCCGTTCTCTGATTTTAAATCTTTAAATGTTTTCCCACTGGAGCCATATTACTACTGCCAGTGGTTGATCCAGAACTGGTTTTATGAATAGGTCTGTGCTTGAACAGTTTTCTTAAAATGATACAAAGTGTTAGTTTTACTTTTGTAGGCATTTTGTTGCTTGGAATTAGATCATTTGGGTATGTATTTTTCTCATTTTATTCTTTTAATATCAAGTACACCTGTGGTTCTGCTAGCATCTGAGTCCTTTCCGCCCAACAATGCATTGGCATAGATTGTGCCTATATAAAAATCATTATTTAGCATTAACTATATGCAAAGCATTATTCTGAGCACGTAGCATATATTCTTTCATTTAATTCTTTTAATATCCAAGGACTGTTATTATTCCCACTAGAGGCCCAGTGCATGAAATTCATGCACCAGTAGGGTCCCTAGTGGCTGCCAGCTGCCGGCCGGCTACTCCCTCCCTTCCCCCAGCTGGCCCCGCCCCTTGGTCAAACTCCTGGACGAACTTCTGGTCGAGGGGACAATTTATGTACTATGCTTTTATTAGGACTAGAGGTCCGGTGCACGAAATTTGTGCACAGAGGGGAGGGGGTCCCTCAGCCCAGCCTGCACCTTCTCCAATCTGGGATCGCTCTCACAATCCGGGACTGCTGGCTCCTAACCGCTTGCCTGCCTGCCTGCCTGATTGACGCCTACTGTTCCCCTGCCGGCCCAATCGCCCCCAAACTGCCCTCCCCTGCCGGCCCGATCGCCCCTACAGCCCTCCCTTGCCGGCTCAATTGCCCCCAACTGCCCTCCCCTGCCAGTCCAATCGCCCCCAACTGCCCTCCCCTGCCAGCCTGATAGCCCCCTACGGCCCCCCCCTGCTGGCCTGGTCGCCCCTAACTGCCCTCCCCTGCTGGCCTGGTCTTGCCCCCAACTACCCTCCCCTACAGGCCTGATCTCGCCCCCACTTGCCTTCCCTTACATGCCTGGTCTTGCCCCCAACTGCCCTCCCCTGCCAGCCTGATGGCCCCCTACTGTCCCCCCCTGCAGGCCTGGTTGCCCCCAGCTGCCTTCCCCTGCTGGCCTGATCTCATCCCCAACTGCCCTCCCCTTCAGGCCCGGTTGCTCCCTGCCCTCCCCTGCTGGCCATCTTGTGGCGATGTGGGGGTGGCCGTCTTGTGACGACATTGTGCGACGCCACCTAGGCTTTTATTATATAGGGTAGGGTTTTATAGTTGAGGAAACCAAAAGGGAAGCAAAGCAAACAGGGGAGCCAGAGTTTAAATCTAGAAAAGTCTGATTATGGAGCCTGACACTGGTCTGATGGGAAAGACTTAAAGACTGTTCAAACTTGTTTACAGTTACTGTAGTAGTTCATCAATCCATCCTTTTAAACTGTATCAAATATGCAGTAATGTGTAAGTGAAGAAAATATAACAAGACTATAAAGATTATTGAACTGTCTTGGAACAAAAGGCAAATCATTTAACAATCTTAAAAAAGTTGAAGAGAAAATAGCTATAAAGGACATTGGGATAACAGAAAATTTGAATATAGACTCTGATTTAGATAATAGTATTTTTATCAATGTTAAATTTCCTGCTTTTGTTCATTGTAGTGTGGGATAAGTTAGAAAATGGTATTCTTACACACTGAAGTATGTAATTGGGGAATTAAGGGGGCACACATCTTACTCTCAGTGATTCAGGGGGGAAGTATATATATAAAAATAGAGAGAGACTGATTTTTAAAATAGGCAAAAATGTAAGTAATGGTAACTCTGGGTAAAGAGTATACAGGAATTCCTTGTACTATTCTTTTTAAAAAATATATTTTTATTGATTTCAGAGAGGAAGGGAGCGAGAGATAGAAACATTAATGATGAGAGAGAATCACTGATCGGTTGCCTGTTGCATGCCCCACACTGGGGATCGAGCCTGCAACCTGGGCCTGTGCCCTTGACAGGAATCAAACCCGGGACCCTTCAGTCTGCAGGCTGACACTCTATCCACTGAGCCAAACCTGCTAGGGCCCTTGTACTATTCTTAAAACTTTTCTGTTTGAAATTATAGTCCCTCCAAAAAAGTTACCCAATAACACAGGTAGAAAACAGGAAATGAAGGTGTAACATTCTAAGAATTTCTTTTTTCTAATCAGGTGAAGCATTGTTTCCTGTGCTCTGATTTTTTTTTTTAAGGGGTTAGAGGAAAGACTGAAACAAACAAAAAAATCTTATCAGAAATAATTTGACTTTCTCAGATTTCAAAATCTAGCCATTCAGAGCTCCCCGACTCAACAAACCTCCAACAAAAATGGGCACAGTATTTTCCTCACCTCTTTGTAATAGGTTGGAGGTAGCGGGAGATTCAAAACACGAGGGCCTCGAAGAACTAAGATACAAAGGCGGTCCACCTTCAGTGACACTGAAAGTTGAGTTGGGTTGGTGTATCATCTCCCTGCCTAAACACCTTCAATGGCATGCTGATAGTGACTGGATCTCACCTCAAAACTCTCTGGTCTTGTTTTCACGGTTCCTGGCTCCTACCTACCTTCCTAACTTGGTCTCATGGCGTCCCCACCAAGCAGGTACACTCTGGCCACACCAGATTACTTGATGTCTGCGCACACTGACCTTTGTCCCGCTTCCTTTGCCCTTGAACAGCTTTGCTTGGAAGGCACTCCTGTTCTTTTCCTGCTGAAATTCTGTTCATCCTTTCAGTCTCACCATAACCTCCTGGGAGTCCGTCTCTGATCTCACGCAGAATTATGTTTTCCTTTGTCTGTGCTGCTCTATCCGTGGTGTAAACACAGTGCTCTCTGCTTTCATCCAGCAATCCTTATTCAGCGTCTACTGTAAGCTGGAAGCTGTGCCAGGGACTGGGGACTCAAAGGCAGTCATGGTCTGGTAGCTAGGGGTGAGTTGTAAGCAAAGAGTCATAAGGTAAGTACATAACAGAAAAATAAACAAAGTGCTATGAGAGCTAGGGACTCCACCGACAACGTCGTCTTGAAGAAAAGATTAGTGACAACCACAACTAGATACCCTTTCCCCTCATCAGGTTCCTTTCCAGATTGGAGATTTCTAGCACAGTAATCCAATTAAATGAATACCTGTAAAGCAATTGTAGTACCTGTAGGCCACCCAAGTAGAATTACTCAATAGAAAGCTAAAAATAGAAGCCTCTAGAGCTCAGGGGAGGGAGGGTGAGTCTGGATGTGTAAATCACACAGCGCGGTGTGTACATATATCTCTCTTCTCTGCGTCCAGCGCGGCTAGAGTGGGTCCGGGTGCCTTCCCAGGCGCTCTACAGCCGTGTGCTTAGGCAGGAAGACCACCAGGGGCAGATCACCGTCTCAGGGGGTCGTGTGCTCTTTCCAAACTCCCCATCCCCTTCATGGCCCAAGATTCGGCCCTTGCTTCCCCTCAACTTTGGTGACATCCGTCCTGGCTTAAGCATCGTTGTCCGAAAGGAGAGACAGTATTGATACACACTGTGTGTGCACACAGGAGGCAAGAAACAGTAAAGTTGAGAAGCTCTGATGGTGAAATGGTTAAGTGCTTGGGTATGGCTCAGACAACACAGGCAGAGGAAGACGAGGAAGAGGATGGGGAGGAAACCTCAGAGAGACAAGTTGTAAAGGGTGAGTGGAGAAAGAGGAGCCAGTGATAAAGGCAGCGGGGAGGAAGGAGAGGCAGCAAGGGCGGGGACCCGAGGGCAGGGGCACAGGTGGTTTCGGGGTACCTGGGGGGGTGGCAGGGCCTCGTGCGGCAGAAGTGGGCTGGGGCCTGAAGTTAGGTTCCAACTCTTAGGAAACCATTGCTGTCCATGGTGGGGGCGGTGTCAGCCAAAAGGTAGTGACACAAATCCAGCCACCCTGAATTCAGGAGGGACTGGGGTTGAGGACGTGAGCACAGCAAAGACGTGACTGTTTCCAGGAAGTTGGTAGGAAATCGGAAGGACAGACTGAGAGAGGTAGACTGACGGACGGGAAGGCCCACTCTGAAAGGGTTTACTTTACTGCAGGTTGGGTGGGGACGGGAGTCTTGAACAGGTGTACTTGCCAAGGAAAAGGGACCGATGGAGAAGGAGAAATAAAGTATAGGAACCAGCTGAAGGAGCACGGGCCTTCAGGATGGTCCGTGTTGTTGAGAAGACATTCCTGCTCTGCGGGACCCCTTGAGGAGAGGAACCAGGTCTGATGTGCCTGCTGTCCCTAGGAATCCCTGCACACAGTAGGCATTCAGAAAATGTTTCTTCAAGGGAGTAAAGATTTTACCTTTAAAAATTACTCTTTCCTGATTGATGTAGTAGAATAACAACAACAAGACCACTGTTTTTATCCTATAATTAACAGCCTGTAGTGTGCTCTACGTATAAGCCATATGTTTGCGGCCTTATGTTCTTTGAAATAAGAAGGACAATAAATTGAGTATTATTGAGGTAGTAGTAATCATGATCCCTTAACTTTTCTGTCTTTGTTACTAATGTTGTGTCCCCCACCCCATAACCAAGAAACAGAATTTCCGGAGGATGAGGCCCAGAAATCAGGATTTTAAAAAGATTCCCAGGTGATTCTAAATGTGCAGCCAAGGTTGAGAACCACTGTGTTACGGTGAAGGCACTCTGCTGGGTGCGTGTGGGGTGCAGTTCATTGGAAGAGACGGACATGCACATGAACAGGACAGGCTCTCTCCCACTGTTTAGCAGAGGGACTCGGTCAGCTCCATGCTTTGGGATTAAAATTCTTGATTTTGTAAATGTTCAGAAGAAGGACATTGTTTTGATTGTTGTCTATGACAGATGTCACCTACTGTAAATATTTCTACTATTAACAAGGACTGACTTTGTATAGAGCTCTCAGTTCTGTAACTTAATTCTTTGAGAGTATATCCAGAAAGAACAAATCGGTTAACAGAAGTAACATCAGCTCCTCGCTGACCACATTTCAGGCTGCAGATGGTGAGTGAATCAGTGTGGGTTTCATTCTGCTGTGCAGTTTCCATGTTGTAGACCTAAAACCCACAACAAATATGTGAAGGCAGTTCTGGTTCACATTTTCCTTCCCGCGGCTTGTACACTAGCATACATATTGATGGTATCTCATTTTCTGTTATCTTTTTCCCCTCGATTTCACTAGAAAACTTTTTGCTGTTTTTTGGGGGTTTTTTTGGTATTGTATCATTGCCAGTGAACTATATTACACAAAATATGCTAAGCAAATCAAATTAATGTATATAGAATTCATTTGTGAAGACTAATGAGCTGATTTAGATGCTGACTTATCTTTGGTGAATAAAATTGTTTCCCTTGATGAATTGCTGTCTTGAGAATTGATTGGAACATTGTTTGCTCAAAATCTTAACCTCTGTTTGTTTTCTTTCTTTGACAGTAGATGCCTGGTAGACATCTTAGAACTTTAAAAACAGAGAAGACCTGCTTTTAGGGGAAAATGCTGAGGGACACTATGAAATCTTGGAATGATAGCCAGTCCGGTCTCTGTACCAGTGACCAAGAAGAGGAAGAAGACATGGTTTTTGGTGAAAATGAAGATGACTTGGAAGAGATGATGGATTTAAGTGATCTGCCCACCTCTCTTTTTGCCTGCAGTGTCCATGAAGCAGTGTTTGAGGTGCAAGAGCAGAAGGTAGGCACACGTCCTGCCTTTCCCTGCATTGGTAGTGTGTTAACTGTATGTGGACTGGGGGGAACAGAGCAGATGGCTGCCATTTGCAGAGTCTGTTACTGGTCCATGACAAGTACGGAAAAGATGCATCAACCTTTACACATTTGCTGCAGCATTTTTATAGTGTTTTTTTTCTTTTCATTTTATTTATAGTAATCTTATAAGTGTCAGTCTGCAATAGAGAGGACATATTTCCTTCCCCACAAATATTTTGGGAACCATTGGTTTATAGTGAATCAGGTTTTATTAAGTGCATTTATTTATTCATTCACCCACTTTTGGAGCCTGTAGTTAAGAAAAAGCTACTGATTTTTAGTGTGGCTTCCTATTAATTGGGAATAAATTCACAAAAGTTCTTTTCTGGGGCTAATTAAATAATTAGGGCTATGTGTGATTTCATTGTGATACAATCTATATATATAAAAGCCTAAGTGACCGTTATGACCGAATGGCCGGAACAACCAGTTGCTATGACATGCACTGACCACCAGGGGGCAGACTCTCAATGCAGGAGCTGCCCCTGGTGGTCAGTGTGCTCCTGCAGCCAACCTCCCCTCGCCGGCCAACCTCCCACAGTCCCTCCCCCCAGGCGGCAGGCCCCAGTCACCTGATTGGGGCCGGGCCGGGGAATCAGGCGGTGGGGCTGGTGGCCAACCTCCCCCTGGCCGGCAGGCCCCAGTGACGGTGTGGCGGCAAGAGAAGGGGGAGGCGGGGAACCGCGTGGTGGTGAGGCACCAAAAGCGGTGTCGGTGTCCGGCGTCGATTCCTTCCACGCCCAGCCCAACGACTGTAGCCTCCTCTCCGGACCCTGCCAGGGCCTTCAGGTCCCAATTGACCTGGCCCCAGTCAGCCCTGACCGCTGACCAGGCCTAGGGACCCCACCTGTGCATGAATTTCGTGCACCAGGCCTCTAGTTGTTAATATTTCTTGTTTTACTTTCTACAGTTTGACTTGGGCAAAATGGTTATTTTTTAAAGGTTGCTTTCCTTTAGTTCATTTATTACTTACCTGGAAAGAGAGAGGTTTTGTGTGTTTATTTTTCTGTCATGACCTCACAAAAGCCTATATAGGTCTTAGTCCTGCCGAAGTAAAATATTTCTCCCATTGCTACAAATTTGGCATGTTTTGAGACTTTCTCTCACAGTGCTATCAGCAGACCTCTCAGTTTGTGTCTGTGACTCAAAGTATTTTCCTCCCAGTGACTTCCCTGGAGCAGAACTCCATATAGTTTGACTCAGTGCGTACTTGAGTGCCTCCGCTGTGTAAAGCACCGTGCCAGTCGCTTCAGGGCACAGACCAGGAACTGAAACCGCTTCTGCCTGAGACAGTTGACAGTCCTCAGTGGAGAGAAGTCGTTTGATGTACGATGGAATACCAGTGCCTTTAGAGAAAGTACATTGGTGAGAGGATGACAACCAGTTGGCATAAAAGTTCTTATGGGGAGATGACGTTGGGGTAGAGCTGAGAGTCGGCTAGGAAGTTAGTGAGGAAGGGAAGGGGACTTCTGACCAGAGGGAAGAAATGAACGAAAGAGCTGATTCGTGAAGAGTGTGGACCAACCACTCCAGCGAGCAGTAAGCAGCTCTGTGGGGCTAGTGCATAGGTGAGAAGTAGCCAAAGGCAAGAGAAGTCTGGCCGGGGCCCTGGCTGGGTAGCTCAGTCGGTCAGAGCATTGTCCTGATACGCCCAGGTTGCAGGCTCGATCCCTGTCCAGGGCACATACAGGAATCAACGAATGAATGCATAAATAAGGGAACAACAAATCAACTTTTCTCTCTCTAAAATTAATAAACAAAAATTTTTAAAAAGAAAATTTATTTATTTATTTTAAATATATATTTTATTGATTTTGGAGAGGAAGAGAGAAGGGAGAGAGGTAGAAACATCAGTGATGAGAGAGAATCATTGATCGGCTACATCCTGCACACCCCATATTGGGGATCGAGCCCTATATGCCTTGATGGGGAAGCCATCCATGACTTCCTGGTTCATAGGTCGACACTCAACCACTGAGCCACACTGGCCAGGTGAGAATTTATTTTCTTTAAAAAAAGAGAAATCGGGCAGGAAAGTGAGTGTGGGGCATCCTGCAAAGCTCAGGAGCTGGCCCTTCTGGGGTAAATAACCTGAGCAACAGAGTGATGATCAGAATGACACGTTAGCAAGATCACCTGACAGCACGTGAGGCCGAGTGGAGGAAGGAGAGCCTGCAGCAGGGAGCCAGTTAGGAGAGAGGATGCCGGGGCAGCAAACTGCCTGGAGATGCTGCAGACCCAAAAGTGGAACAAGGGAGTGGGAATACAGCCGCCAATTTTTTATCTTTTGGGTTTGTTTTCATTTACAAATGCTGTTTTCTTTCCCATATTCAGTCATAATATAGAAATTTTGAAATAATCCAATCCTAATTTTCTCATACTTCCTACGAACTCTAAATTTTCATATAATTACATTAACCTTGTTTATTTGTTGTGAGAAGCACATATGCTACTAATTTATCTAAAAATGATATTCATCTGGAGCACTTTAGATTTTGCTACTTGGGCAGTTTTGAATTTGGGGTCAAATAAACTCTTTTGTAAATATATATATATATATATATTCATAAGAATTCATTCCAGAAACTTTACTATATTATCGGTTCCAACTTTTCTTTTTTAACTGTAGCCTAGAAAATTTTTTAACTTGCCAAAGCAGTGAATTCTTATTGATTTTTCATTAAAAAAAACAAAAAAAAAAACTATACAGGGGTGGGCAAAAATAGGTTTACAATTGTAATACAAATAAATAATACAATAATAATAACACAAGAATAAACTCTTGGGTTTTTTTGTACTCAAAACTATAAACCCATCTTTCCTTTCCCTGTATCTAACCTATTGGAAATCATATCAGCAGAAATTCTAGTAGCAGTTCAGTGGATTTCAAGTAATATACACTTCTTAGTCATAGTAAATCCTATATAGTAAAAGCCTAATATGCTAAGTTCTGGTCATCCGGTCAGCCGTTCAACCAGTCAAAGTGTAATATGCTAATGATATGCTAAGGCCACTCAGTCGCTCGCTATGATGTGCACTGACCTTCAGGGGGCAGACAGTCAACCACCGACCAGTCGCTATGACATGCATTGACCACCAGGGGGCATACGCTCTGACCAGTAGGTTAGCTTGCTCCTGGGGTCTGGCCCATCCGGACTGAGTGAGATGGGCCAGACCCTGAAGCCCTTCCATGGTCCCTCCCTGGCTGGCCAACCTCCCGTGTCCCTCCCTGGCCCCAATCTTGCACCAGTGGGGTCCCTCGGCCCGGCCTGCACCCTCTTGCAATCTGGGACCCCTTGGGGGATGTTGGAGAGCCGGTTTCAGCCCGACGGCAGAACAACCTGTGTCTATGATGCACACTGACCAACAGGGGACAGACGCTCAATGCAGGAGCTGCCCCCTGGTGGTCAGTGCACTCCCACGGGGAGCGCCGCTCAGCCAGAAGCCGGGCTCACAACTGGCAAGCGCAGCAGCGGTGGTTGGAGCCTCTGCTGCCTCTGCGGCAGCACTAAGGATGTCCAAGTGCTGGCTTAGGCCCACTCCCCAGTGAGTGGATCTAAGCCGGCAGTCGGACATCCCCCAAGGGCTTCTGGACTGTGAGAGGGTGCAGGCTGGGCTGAGGGACCCCCCCACCCCCCGTCCCGAGTGCACAAATTTCATGCACCGGGCCTCTGGTTTTATATTAAAGCCTTAATAGTTATACACTGGAAACTGTAAAATATAAAATGTTTATATAATAAAATTATGTGAATCATCAATGGATAAGAAATGTGAAGAGAATCAAATGTTTTCTTTACCTTTTTCTTCTCATGATCAGTGTCTTATTCTGCTGTAATTTTTCTAGAATAACCCATTTATGCAGGTCATCCACATACGTGCAAAGAACAAAGCAAAACAAAAACCATTTCTGGGGAATTATAGGCAGGATCATCGTGATTGCAATTAAATGCTTTATTTTCAAAAGAATCTTAGGTTGTTTTTATTTCTGACTTAAAGAGCTTTTATCTTTATAATTTTGTAATTGTTGGAATGAGCTTTTAACCTCTTCTGAATAGTAGCCCAAGTAACAGGTACCATTTGAATGTACAGGAGACTCTTCATTTTAGATTGCTAGACCTTGGCTCTACATTTTCATTAATGTTTCTTGAAAATAGTGTGTGTGAGGTGGGGAAGGAAAAGTAAAGAATATAATAAACTGAGGAAGAGCCGTATCTCTTCATTTGTTTTTCTGCACCAGCATGGGTGTTAGTTTTCATGCATTTGCTCAGCTAAGCAGTAGCGCCATCGGGAGGGCTGCAGGTTTAGTCCCTAATTTTTCTGTAACAGATTGGGATTTTCCCCAATATGATTTTTTATTTACTTGCTCGTTTTTAACCCTAGCTTTTCCTTCCTTAAAATAAGAAAAAAATAAGCAGGCTTCTGATTTGAACATGAGAGGTTTTTAAAATACAGCAAAGAGGCCTGGCCAGGTAGCTCAGCTGGTTAGAGCATGGTCCTGATACACCAAGGTTGCAAGTTTGATCCCTGGTCAGGGCACATACAAGAATCAACCAATGAATACATAAGTAAGTGTAACAACAGATCCATGTCTCTTTCTCTCTTTCACACCTTCCCTCTCTCTCAAATCAATAAATAAATTTTAAAAATACAACTTAGGTTTTTATAACGTAAGAACTAGGACTGTTTCCTCTCTTTAAGGTCTGTGTGTCTGAGGGGACTCAGTAAATGTTAATGCAAAGCAATGTTGGTGATGGGGACTAACTTTATTAAAAAATGCGTATGGCTTTTGGATTATAGTCCCTTCACAAAGTACTGCCCTAAAATGTCTCTACTGATCTGCTCACCATAGGACGTTTGATCTGAGTTTTCTTTTTTTCTAATTTTAAGGTTCTGTTTAATAATAAACAACATATAAAGTTACAAGAC